TTGAGCAACCCTGTTTGCGATTAGATATCTTGTAAACGTGAGGATAACCAAATAGCCTAGGCAGTCTAAAGCGGAGGTCATGCAATGAGCGGATGAGCGGTGAGCGGCTTAAAAGTAAAGCATATGTAATACTATTGAAGTGGCCATGCCATGAGCGGCACTTCTGAATGGTTGGGTGGCACTGCTCAGTAATAAAAGCCGTTCAACCGCTCATTACGTAGCCTCTGCCCAAGACGACTTACCGCTCTTTCGTTCTGAGTTTACCAACTCAGTGATTATGTGTCTGGAGTGCGCAAAATGGCTTCGGCCCCTCTCACGAATTCGTCGATAACTACATACATACTGCACGAACCTGGTTCCCCGCATAATTTTACCTTGTTTTCTAGCTGCCAAGAGGCGAAGAGTGTCGAATCACTTATCGACGAGCTTGAAAATAGTCATCCTATTGAATAGGGTTCCAATGGCGGATTGGTTTTTTGAAAATATGAGTATAACCACGCGTTTCAAACCATTCTCAAGGTTCGTTCTGGAACCGGCCGATATTGCCAGGAGCTCGGCCTTAAAGACTGTGAAAAATCTGCGCATTATTATAAAAAGTCTATTTCGTTAACCATCCTTCAGTCACATACATACAAAAATATGTTCCAGTGAACAATCAGGATGTAGGTAGGATCAATGGAAGACTGTCCATTTGCCCACAATAAAAACGGATTCCTTTTAATATGGAGTCTGAAAACCTGTGTAAATATTTTCCACTTTAATATTTTAGCCAAAATACCTTTATGCCGCCTGTTTTTATGAAGAATACCGACTGGTACTTGAAAGTGCAGCTCTCTCGAAACATAAGCGGCAATTCAACGGACTATTAGACAATACAGCTTCGTAACCGTCATAGTAAAATTCTACCGCCGTATACAGGTCCTGCTTTTCATAAACTAGACTGGCAACGTGCTAAGTTTTAGCTCAGTTCTTTCGTGCTTGTACTTGCAAAATTTTACTTAGATGGCTTAAGCTATCCAGTCTTTATACAAAATTCATGCTCATTTACAGCTGGACAATAGATAAATAATTTTGCAAGCATGAAAGCGATTTTTAACCCCGTACCACACCGATTATAAACCATGTTAAGCTTTTGCATGTTGCCTTCCATATAAAACAAGCCACTTGGCCACGATCTTGTCGTGGGCTGTTAGAGAGAGTACAAAAAAAAACACTACAGCCAGGTCGCATGAACTTCATGTAACTACGTACATATGTATGTAGATCGATGTTTGTGTAGCCATACATATATTTCTCTGCCCGCGCTACCGCTACTTTACACACTTCGAGCCAATCAAGCAATAAAAATAAGGAAAACCAACAAGCATTTATTTAGTTATAACTTGTTAAGTAAAAAATCCAGTTTTTGTGCAAAACTGCCGCCTGTTGCAAGACGCAACAAGTTGACTTTCAGTCGCAACATGCCGTAGTATGTGGGGGTTGTCGCAGCACCGCTGCTGCTGTTGCAACGCTTTCACTGCGGCGCACAGTGCCGCGACTCCATACAAATGATGGACAAAAATAGAAGGAGTGGTCAGAATTGGCTGAAACTTCACACCTAGAAGTATTATGCCCCTCTAATTTCAAAAATGAAATCGGTTTTTCTGTACCGGTTACTCATTTCG